TGCATTGTGCATAAGCTCTTGTGACAGGCTTAGTGCATAGCAGTCTTTTGAAAAATGGATCAGTGGGGTGGATCGTACAACCTCCTATGCTGTGTGAAATTGTCAGATTGCCAATCTGGATCATCGCAATCGGCAATCAGTAAAAGATAAAACAACACATATACAGGTGGATCGCACACCCACCTATCCCATGTTGGATTGTCAAATTGCCAATCTGGATCGTCCAAATCGGCTATCAATCAAAAGGTAAAACAATACACATACATATATATATATATATATATACATATACATGCAAATATACATACAACAATATATACGATTAATATAAGAACAATGTAAACATTTACAACTGCTATTTTAAGCAACCTAGCCAGCCAATACTACATACATATATAAGAATAATGTAAACATTTATAACAACTATTCTAAGCAACCTAGTCAGCTAGTACACCGGCTGTTGATGCCAGGGTTATGGTCACGGACCCCACTTCTTTTTTATATAGTATCTAAAACAAAAAATTAAAAAAAAAATTCAAGGATAAGAGTGCTTCTAGTGGAGGAAAATAGAGAAAATAGACAAAAAAAAGTTCAATAAACTATCAAAATAGGACAGCTTTGAGTAGATATGGCTTTCCATGCACAAAAAAGTAACCCCAAAACCCTAGATAGGGTTTGTCGGTACTACACACACCTTGTTTTTACTGTTCACGAACCAGTGTTATACACCCTAATACCCCAGGCCATTTTATTACATTATAATAATAATAAAAATACCAAAAACTACCATCACTTAAGTTAAAACATAATAAAAATACCATATAAATCCCTTCACTTAAAAGAAAATTTCTAATAACATTTTTGCCCCTAATAAAACAAGTAATTTTATAAGTATTCTAATGACTTTTTCGAACATCTCCTAGAATCCTAAAAAATATAAAAGATCCTAGAATGCCTAAAAAATTTAAAAAACCCTAATCCTAAAACTAAAATAAAAATATACATACTTTGAAATTAAACAAATATTAAAAATAACAAGAATATTTCCCTCCATCATTCTCCCCTAGCTAGAAAAAACTCGTCATCAAGTTTTGAAGTATGCTAAGATGAATTTTGCGTTAGTCTTGCAATCTTCTTCAACTTGAATATTGTAAACACGATTCTAGGACTTGTGGGTTATTGCACTAATCAAAACATGATTGTGCATTGAAACTGAATCTTTGTAATCAGTTTATGTATTCATAACCCCTTTTGAGAAACCATTGAGGAAAGGGTTGCCGCATGTTGATAGAGTTTGTTCAGCCACATGAACTTGTTAAAATTGCATCAGTTTAGCCAATATCCTTATTAAAATTATCTAGGCTCAGCCCTAGAATACAACATGGGTGCATCTTCGAGAAGAGCACAGCATTGATGATTGAAAAAATATGTTCACCTATTGATTCTCCTTGGACTCCTTCACATTTTTCTTCGTCAAAGATCGGTTTAACCACGAAATCTTGATCATTGTAGATCGGATCTCCTACAAGATCTTGTTCTTCATCTAAGCATGTACCAAAGATTCGTGGCAAATCTCAATCTATAACTTGCTGATTTTTTATACGACCTGCGTCAAAATCAAGAATTTCCTCCTTTAAATTGAAAACCCTATAGTGATGATCCCCACGTCCAAGGTCTTCTATCACTTTCCTCTTCACTTGACTCTTCACACATAACACGGAAGTGAAAAGGGTTGTACTCGACATCTTCTTGGACAGATAAAACTTCATCTTGCCCATGATCCTTGCCTTTAAGCCACCTTTTAAGTTCTTGAACTTGCCATCTCATATCCCCTATATCCCGATCCTGCAAATCACAAGGTGGATCCATCTGAATACCCCTACCTCGACCTCTTCTTGCTCTCGATGGTTCATCGAAATCACAAATCCTAATAAGAGAACCAACAAAACCTAGCTAAAACCAGCAAGTTCTAAGCTGATATGGCAAAATTTAGCCTAAAACCAACAAGCCCTAGACTTGGCTGTGGATTCCCAAACAGAGAAAATATGCAAGAACCAGTTAAATAAATCATCAAAACAGACCAAATTTAAGTGGATCTGGCTTTCTTAACACAAAAAGTGACCCCAAAACACTAGAGAGGGCTTGCTGGTATTGTTCACACCTTGTTTCTATTGTTCACGCCCCAAAAAGTGTTAGACCCTAACCCTTTTATTACATTATAATAAAAAGAAGACCAAAACTATTCCTAATTCAGTTAAAAATTATAAAAATACCCCATAAGTCCCTTCACTTAAAAGAAAATTCATAACGACACTTTTTCCCCTAATAAAATAAATAATTCCATAAGTATTCAAATGACTTTTCTAAACATCTCCGAAACTCCTAAAAAAAATAAAAATCCTAGAATCCCAAAAAAAAATTAAAAACCATAAAAATCCTAAAACTAAAGCTAAAATATACATCCTTTGAAAATTAAATAAAGGGTGCGGTTTGTATAAAGCCTAGGCTCTAAACAATCAAAATAGAGCCTACCTTCAAATGATATCGAGAAATGTGGTTTCAATATTGGAAATTTTTGTGATAGCCTTAAAATATCTTTTATATTTATTTATAAAGTTTAAAGCTTCAAAAATAGTGTATATCGACAGATATATGAAACTTGAAAATCTTGAAAATTGGCGGTCCAAAAATGTGTTACAAAAGACACTAGTTCCAAAACTTGAAATCTATTTTTTTCTCATGTTCATGCTTCTTGATGTCGAGATGATCAATTTGAAAATATTTGAACATCAAAACAACCTTTTCTAGTGAAATTTTTTAGATAAGCTCAAATTTGATTGTTTAGAGGCTCGGTTCTATATCAACTTTTCCCTTCAATAAAAGTATTAAAAATGCAAAGAATTTTGCCCTCCATCAGCTTCAGAGTAACGAGTATAATTGATTGGGAAGGGATTTGAAACCCTAACCTAATGCCTCGGAGTTCTCACGCTAGCAACCTAAGCTATTATAACTAAGCTATTATAACTAAGCTATTATACCTTACTTCGGATGAAAAGAAACATAATAGCTTATATTTTTAAAGAATTTCCAATATGAAATCAGCCAATAGGAAATTAGGAAAGTATCCAACGAACGAGCCAGATCAGATATTTTTTTTAACACTTCTCCCATGGTTTATGGGCCTTACATGACTATTCAAAAAATTGTTATGGTAGCCTGCCACTTTTGGACTTCTTAGTAGGGTGAAAATTGTAGGTTTTGGGTTATAAAGGAAAGGGGTAATTTTAAGTAAGGTCATGAAAAGCACTCTCTCTCTCTCTCTCTCTGTTGGTGCTTTACATGACCTTAATTGAAATTATCCCTTTCCTTTATAACCCAAAACCTACAATTTTGACCCTACCAAGAAGTCTAAAATAGGATACAGAGAATATCCCAATGGATTTGAATAGAACTAGGACAATAAAAAAAGAAAAACGAGAGGCCTTTTTGTTGGTTTCCTTGTGGGATACTTTTGACTTAGTTTAGTTTATTTCTCTTTGCCATTTGAATTAGTTAGATGCCTATATTAAGGAAAGTTACTTGAACATAGAGATTAATAGGTTTTGGGTTCTAAACGAAAGGCATAATTTCATTTGAGTAATGAAAAAAAAATCATATTTTTGTTGAGAAACAGCTCAAAGAGGCCATCCAACTTAAATCGTCCCCATTCAATCGTTCTTTTTTTCATCTTCTCTTCATGAATCTTTTGCCAATACCACTTGGAATGTAACAGAGTCAAGAACAAAAATAAGGCATGAGTATCCTTAGTCAAAATTTGAAAGGAAAAATACTAGCCTTTTCTTGTCTTCAAAGGAGGTGCTCGTCCTTAACCCTCTATCACCCAAAGTACTCATACCCACTAGGGCCCATTTTCCTAGTCACCTCCATTTGCTGCTCTTTTCTTTTTTTACTATATTCACTTCCATTTGCTGTTTTCTTGTCCTCCTTCCTTTTTTTTTATCAGCTATGTCTATCGTCATTATCATAATAGTCTCCATGTCACACCAAGGAAATCCTTTCTAATAAAAAAAGTGACGCTCTCTTCATAACCATGAGTAAACTGGGAAGCAATTCCAATAATCCATACCATCTCCAACAATAAGAACGTGTTAGCAGTTAAGGCTCGCAGGAATCTATAGCACCACAAGGTATTCCCCTCTATCTAGCAATACATACTTACTGCTAACCAATGGATGGTCCTTTGGTATGTATAACTAGAAATAACACTCACAAATTTCAACTCTAACTTCAACTCGCAACAACATCAACCAGCACTATGCCATGGCAATTAAGGTGTCAAACCACTTGATATTTGATCATTTCTTTTCCTCATCCATGGAATCTAGCATCAATAGTCCCCACATTTACTTCTTTCCAAATAAAAATTGGGAGTAATCATTGGTCGGCAAAAATGCACTTAGTTCCCAAATATGTCCTGTTTGCTTTCAGTGATGATAGAACCATACAACTCATTTGTAATAACATTCACAAATTTAACCTGATATGCATAAGAATCCAGCTATGGTGATTCATATAAAATTTGAGACAGACGGCCATGAATATCTAAACACTCGGTACATATAGTTTCTTAATAAGTTGCAGAAAATCATCTAAAGAGACAATTGCTGTAAGCAAATAAACCATTTCCCTATAATACCACAAGTTTCAAGACCCAACAGCCTCAAATACTCTATAACCTGCATATAAACAATCATATGATCCTGCAAGTTTCTGTGTTGAAAAAAACTATCATGAGAAAGGGAACATATGTGATTATGTGTTGAAAAAAGAGATAATGCTCCAAATAAAGTACAGGATTTCGATGGAAAGGATTCTCTTTCTTTAGTTGGCAACATTAGATCATTATAACAGTAAACAGAAAAGATAGGGATAAGAAAAATCAAAGCTCTTCTCGCCCATAGATACAAATTTATAGAGAAAAAGAGGGGGTGCACGCCTACCTGTCTTCCTCCATGAAAGCCCTGCCTAAACTCAGCAGCCGTGTGATCCACACTATTTTCACTGCGTTACCTGTTACGACTTACGCCTGCACCCTTTCGAATTCGAATTTGAATCGACTCAAAAACCACCCTTGTTCGTGGCTTTACTAGCAGCGAGACCGTGCGGTACATGGTGGGTAGCACGGCAGGATATGGGTTGCGCCTGAGTCGGGCCAGTCGTCATCCAAGGCGTCCCAAGATCTATAGGGCTGGCTCGAGCCCGGCCAAGACTAGGAAAGCTGGGTTCAGACCCCTAGACTCGAAAGATAGGGAAAATATCGTGAAAGGGCATGAAACCCTTACGATATCATTAAATGGTCAAATAAGAAAGGGTGCGGTTTGTATAGAGCCAAGGCTCAAAACAATCAGTTTTAATCCTAGATATGTCTGTGATAGCCTTAAATTATATTTTTATATTTAATTATAAAATCTAAAGCTTCAAAAATATTGTAGATCGAGCAAAGTTATGAAAATTTTGACCTTCTTAAAATTTGACGTTCAAAAAATGCGTTACAAAAAAACTTGAAATCCATTTTTTTCTCATGTCCATACATCTTGACATCGATATGATCTATTTAAAGATATTTGGCCATCAAAACCACTTCTTCTAGTGATATTTTTGAGGTAGGTTTTAATTTGATTGTTGAGAGCCTCAACTCTATATAAACTTTTTCCAATAAGAAATACATTGTTAAGTATTTGTAATGCAAACAACTCGAGGTATTTTTGTAATTTGATACAGACAAAATATTTGGGTACAAAATGATAAAAATACTTCTAGGTATTCTGCATTACTAATCCTGAACAATGCGTGTCTTATTTGAAATTTTGATCCATGAGGGTTATTTTGTAACATTCGGTTAAGGCCTCTTAGGGGTCAAATATACAAATGCATGTTTGTTGTGCATTCAAAACATTGAATAATGGCAATTTAGCTATCTTGAAAAATTTATTGAGATGGTATCTAATTAAAATGAAAAAGGAATAGTGTACCCCATAAGGCTAGTATATGGGGTTTCATTCCCTTCAATGATATTTTCAAACAAAGAGAAAAAAAGAAATGGGATGGCTAGACCAGGCCATTGCCATTCTAACATGATCTATGTAAAAGGAGAGTTGTAATTTTCAGGACTTCATGAATTGATCAAGTATGTCATTTTATAAAATCATTATTATTATAGTGAATTGTTTCATGCATGTGGGCTAGCCTGCATGAAACCTCCACCAGCCAAATTGGTTGCACGGTGAAGAATGTAGGGACCACACTAGCTGGACGGTGGAGGTCTCATGGTGGCTAGCCCGTATAAAAGTTGTCATATCATAATATACTTGAGACAAGTAATTTAAAATTCTTCCATTTATTTTGTTGATATCTACTAGCTTTGAAAATGGTAAATGTTAAATAGTTGTTAAGCAGTTTTGATAAAATTCTCTTTTTCTTGACACATTTCTAATATCCTAATAAGGTGATTAAATCAACTAATCTACTGACCAAGATGTTAGTTTTTAGGAAAAATATCTTTTAAGGTGTTACAAATCCTTGCAAAATAATTAAAAGGGTCAAAACTACCCAATTAACAATAGATGATTTCGTTCTTAATTTCAACTTCACTAAACACCCTCAAAAAATATCCTAAAAAATATCCAAATTATGCCTCCTCAAGGTTGGAACTGTAGAAGAGGCAATGACATTTTAATAATTTGACCCACTCTAGATATCCCAACCAAAAGATGATAATACCCATGTTTGTTAAAGATATGTCAAATTATTAAAATGCCCTTACTTATTTGGGTTTCCAACCATGAGCAAAGGTAATTTAGTTATTTTGAGTTTTTTTGGTTTATATATAAAGATATTAGAGAAAATTAAAATTAAAAAGTAAACCCTATTAGAATCTCTTGATCCCCTTAATGAATTTGTGAGAAGTTTTTGAAAATTAGCTATACAGATTATGTACAATACATGTAATTCAAATTTTTTTAGCTACTACAACGATGGGTCTATTTGCAAGCACCACTCACACTCAAATTGCAACAAAAATAAGTAAAACAATAAGTAGGATCCTCACTTCTTTTCATATAACAAATTCATTTTTTTACATTCATCATAAATTAGAAAATTATAAGTAATATATCATGAACTATAGGAAGCCATTACCAGAAACAAGATGCCTTGGATCACCTCCAAGGGATGTAATAACCCACTTTGGATCACCTAGACCAATGATGTACTAATCATAGTCCTTGTTGAATTTTCCTTAGGATTGGAAGCACATGATAACCCGAGAATGCAATAAGGGGTACGAGAGAGCATAACCAAGCATGTGCCTAAAAGGCCCACAATAACACTAACTAGATCTTGCCACAATAATATCAATGAGAAGAATGGCAATGGTTAGGGCTAGGGGCATACCATTCTAGGATTCCTAAAGTTGGAGTGGCAGCCCCACACAACGGGGAAGAGGGAGATAGAGACAGCATTGTGGAGAGGAGAGAGGAAAGAGGCAACCTGTTTGGAGGTATTTTTTTGCATCAGAGTACCTAATACCGGTTTTAGCATATATGGACTATGAAATTGGATCACATATTGCTACCTAGACCCAATAACAAGCTTAAAACGTAAGGTGATGCAAATAAAATTAGAGTTATTTTAATTTTTTATTTTATTTATTCTTTTTTTTTTCTTTTTCTTAATAATAAGAAGTGAGTTGGGATAATTAATAAGGGAGAAAGAATTTTGGTGTGTGACATTATGTTAAGTAGGAGGAGGTACGTGAGTTGTTTAGAGGATTTTGGGGAATGGATAGGAACTAATCTTGGTAGGAGATTTACTTAGAGATTTGTAAAAGATTTAAATAGAGACGGATTTAGATATGGGAAGGAGAAAAGAGAGATATGGATGCTCGTATAGATGAGAGAAAATAGAGAAAATAGATTGAGAGAAAATAGGGAGAAGAGATTTACGTAAGTGTGTGTGTGAGAGAGAGAGAAAGAGAGACTGTGTACGAGAGAGAGAGTGTGTGTATGAGAGATGTTAAGCAGTTTTCCATAAAGTCTATTTAAAAAGAGATGTCATTTCATTGTAAAGGATTAGAGAATGATCAAAGAATTAGAATTGAAAAAAGTTGATCTTATAACAAGATCTGAATTGAGTAAAGTTGATCTTGTGAAAATACCGTTTTTGAGGTAGACTCCCTCGTAGACCTTGAGAGAGGGCATAATCTCTTAAAACTTTTTATTTTATCTTTATTTTTTGGTTGGTTATTATTTCTCCCAGAACCATAAGATCTGGCATTTTGGCCTCATCCTATGTATAAACCCTTAAAAGATAGGGTAGATGATGGCTCCCGACTCAAAACGGCCCATCTATTGCAAATATGTTTGCTTCGATAGGAATATGATGACATATGCTGAAAAACTACCAAAAAATACTGAGGATGGTAGAAAGACCACCAAACATATACCTATCAGAGCTAAACTTAGAGGATCCCCATTTGGGTTATAAAGGATTTCTCAAATAAAGCCATGGGCTCTAGGGTTAGCTGCAATCCAATAATCCACCAAGATTTCCCCCAAAAATCAACCAATAATGAAAACAATTCTCTAACTCTAGTCCATTATCTGTTGAGCACATTAAGAAGGGGGAAAATACAAAGGAATCCCTAAATGGCTAAGAAATAATGAAAACAATTTTCTAACTCTAGTCCATTATTTGTTGAGCACATTAAAAAGGGGGAAAATACAAAGGAATCCCTAAAAATTGGAAAGCCAATGGGCCCAAAACTCCAAAGAATGTTATCAAAATATTCAAAATCCTTAACTTCAACTTTTGATATCAATATGATGTTTGCTAAAGATTCAAGCGTGTAGCTTTCTATTGAAAAATGAAAATAGGGTACAATTCAGTTTTTGTTAAAAGAAATACTGCACAAATTACCAAAATTGACAATTATTCGGATGCGATTGCACCCCAAGCCTATGAAGAAATCATCCGGGCTTTGGATATGTTGTTTCTTGAGATGAGAGCTTTTCGACAATGTATATATTACATAGATTTTGAGTTCGAATAAAGTTCGAGAGATGTTGAGGTGTTTATGGGTTTATGCAATTTGCTATTTTCATGATTTTCTCATGGTTTTTCCAATTGTTACTATCCCATCAAGAAGGGTTTTTTTGTTTATAAAGGGGTATGTTCCTACTGATTCACACAATTCAATTCTCTTTCTGCTCATATATGATAATCCATTATCAGTTTGAAGACGGGGAACAATCTTGAGGATGATTCGTCACTTATTTTTATGATGTTGCTCAAAAAGCATGATTTAAACATAATAAAAGACGCATAACTAATCCAATATCAAAGTTTTGGGTGATTCTTGCAGCAAAATGTCTGGGTAATCATTCTCTACAATTCAATTTGCATGGAAAGACACATTTTGGTGATTCTTTGATCCATGTCCACAAAAAACCCATAGCTCCCTCAAATCTTATAATTTTTGAATAAAATTTGTTGAAAAATGATCCTGTTGTAATTCTCTACAATTTTCTACAGTCGGATTGTCTGTTCGTTGCCCAAAAAAGAAGAAATAAATACTCAAGGTGAAGGGTATGGGTAAAACCAACTTTTCATGGTGATATATTAATATTTTCACTATTTTGACCCTAACAAAAATACCATTTCTCAAAGAGGTGAGATGAAAAATTGATTTTCCACCAATGTAGTCACCTAGCAACCTAGTATGGAACCGCATCCATAAATAGCCTAAACCACTGTCTTTCTTAAGGTTGGAGATCATTTGTTAAGTTAAAGGTGCAAAGAATTCTGGTCAGAGAAAGCAACCTAGAGAGGGAAATCCCAACCTAGAAGCTAAAAAGAGAAGCTCCCTTAGTGAGAGAGAGACAGAGCTAGCTAAAGAGAGAAAACCTAGCTTTACTTCTAGTCTTTCATATTCTAAAGAGAGAAACTTTTGGCCTCATCAAAACCGTAGTAAGCATTGCGTTATATCGACCCAAAGCTACCAGAGCCGAAACATCGAGGCATTAGCCGGCGTGATATGAATCAAATGGTCTAAGAGGATCCACCCAACCATATTAAGGAGATTCCGAACCCATTAATTTGTAAGTAATAACTTAATTGAAAAGTTGGTATTCTTTATTTCCTATGTATTTGCTTTTGTTTTGGAGTCATTTATTTAAGGTGGGCTATTTTGAATTGCACAACGTATGAATTCAATTATAAACTAGGAAGAAACTTATATATCCCTGCCTAAGATTACCTCTATGGA